TCAGCCCGTCCTCCGTCCTCCCCGTGCGTCCCGGCTGCCTGCACCCCCATCTCCCCGGCCACCGGCGCTCAGCCCGTCCTCCCCATGCGTCCCAGCTGCCTGCACCCCCATCTCCCCGGCCATCCGTGCTCAGCCCGTCCTCCGTACCCCCCGTGCGTCCCAGCTGCCTGCACCCCCATCTCCCCAGCCACCAGCGCTCAGCCCGTCCCCCATCCTCCCTGTGCGTCCCGGCTGCCTGCACCCCCATCTCCTGCACCCCCATCTCCACCTCGCTCCCCTGCTTTCTGCTCACAACTTGCTCTTTCTCGGCCTCTTGCCCTCCACTCTCCTTGAGACTCCGCTCTGTGTCCAGGATGGTTTCTGAGACTGAACGCTGAGGGCAGGAGCAAGGGAGGGAGCAAGAGGCAGGGCAGGATTCGGGAGAAAGCCATGGAGACGAGTGTGGGGACGGAACATGCTCTAGTCGCCCCCTTGACAACCTTCACGAGCCGTGCCCTTCACCTGCGTCCTCGCCCTGAGAGGCTGGCCCTGCTGTCCCCTTATTAGAGACAGGAGACTGAGTTCAAGGGGCCGGGGGCCTGTTTGAGATCACACAGAACACCAGGGCCTCTGCTCCTAACTGCCACCCCATTGAGGCTGAGTCCCAGCCAGGGCCAGACCCAGAAGGACGACAGGCTCTCTGCCCTCAGGGGCCTCGGGACCGAGGGGGCCATAGCGAGCTCTGGACGCTGGTTCCTGCAGCTGGCGGGAGCGTGTGGCAAGGCTGGCAGCTCCCTGCGGGAGGAGGGCAGCTGGAGCCAGGACAGGAGGTGGCGGCAGGGACCAGGAATGCCACTTGGCAGGAGGGACACCGGTTGTCAGTGGAAGGGACCAGCCGAGGTCACAGCCTGCTGGTGGCTGGTCCCAGAAGGCGCCCTTTCGGATTCTCCGGAGGACCCGGAAGCAGGGGCAGCCGCCCGCGCCTCGCCCTCAGCCGGGCCGCCTGACGGAGGGGCCAGCACCGAGGAGAGGAGGGGAAGGCCGGCCTGGGGTGTGGTCTGTTTCCTTAACTCTGCTTCTGTCTCGCTTTCCCTCCCTGGCTTCCCTCACTGCCTGCTCCTGTCTCTCCCTGGGTTTCTGGTGGTGGAAAAGCTCAAGTCTTTGCGAAGCTAATGATCTGCCTCTGTGTGAAGCTTACTGGAGGCTGGACCTCGACACAGACTCCGCCGACGGCCTCTCAGTCCCTCTGCCGGCGTCCCCGGAGCCCAGTGCTGGCCCCCTGCAGGCTGCAGCCCCTGCCCACTCCCACGCCGGTGGCCCCGGCCCCGCAGAGCACGCCTGAGCCTCCCAGGGCTCCTCTCCCCGGGCCCCTAGACCTTAGGAATGAAGTGCAGTGTTCCCCTCTAGGCCCACCACAGCCTCAGATCCCTTCAGCCTTGGGGCCCACTTGGGGAGCCGCCGTGGCCTCTTTCGGAACCGTGTCAGCCCAGGGACAGCCCACCTAGGAGTGTTGGGGGAAAGCAAATACCCCCAGCCATGCCAGGGGGGCCCATCCTTACTCTTGTCGTCACCTCTTATTTGCTACTTTCCTGGCTGGCTGGAAGGAAGTTTCCAGGATAGTTTGTCCCGTTGAGGACCTAACGGCGGGGCAGGGAGGATGCCCAGCGTGGTGACCTGAGCGTGGTGTTTACAATGGAGGACGCAAGTGCTCAGAGTGGACAGTACTAGCCAAGGCCAGGCCCCCATGCAGAGCTCTGCCTGCTACCTTGCCCTGAGGCTCCCTGCGCTAGCTGACTGCCCCTGCAGGGCTGTGGGGAAAGGGGGCTGCCCACTCTTGCAGAAGTCAGGCAGGGTCCTTCCTAATTCCGCTGCTGCACACGTTTTGGTTCTTTTTGTGATGAGACTGTTGAATAAAACCAGCTCCACCCTTTTGCTTTGGTCGGTTCCTTTCCTTGCTCAGCCCCAATCAGTTTTGTACCACCCTTGGTCTCGGTGGCTGTCGGAAACCAGCCCCTGGGCTCTGCCTGGACAACATGGGGCTCCAGGTCAGCCTTCTCACGGGGGCTCTGGGCAAGCAGGGGCTTTGTCAGCTTGGAGTCACGGCTGCATTTCCATTGCCTAGAAAGAGCTGTCTAGGACCTAGAAGGGCCCTACTGTTTGGTGAATGCATGAAAAGCTGCCGTTATTGCATACCACGTGGCCTAGGCGGCGTGCGTCTGGTTGCACCCCGAGTCGGTGCTCGTTATTGTCATCTCAGGGAGGGGTGACCACGGGCTTGCAAGGGGTTGTAGTGCTGTGTTCATGGTCATGGAGCTGGGAAGTGAAGTGGGAGGTTCAGGACTCAACCCAGGTGGAACGCTAGGCCCAGTGCCTGGAGCCAGGCTCACCTGAGAAGCGGGGGGCGGGTGTCACCCCCAGAAGAGCCGGGACCTCAATCCCAAGCCCTGTCACCGGCGTGCTTTATCTCCCTCCCAGAGGGAGATCGCCGTCCCAGTGTACGGAGGACATGCCAACCCACGACCCGCCACGTCCGTCTGAATTTATTACCAATCACCACTGAAACAAACTTGATGAGGACACTGCTGTGTTTTCTTCGCCGTTTGTACCCCGGGGCCTTGGAACCTGCCCGGCGCGCAGTCCTTTCTGAACGAACGCGGTCTCGCCAGCTTCCACTTGGGGTCTGAGCCCCCACAGAACTAAATTCCTGCGGACCTGTTCCTGTCCCCCTTTACGGGTACCGAGCACCTACCTTGTGCCGGGCGCGGTCCCCGCCCCCGCCCCATAATGCTTTGCGCCCCGTGCCTCTTCCGTTGGAGCCACCTGGTTAATCGAGCGTCGCGCGCTGGCTGCTCGGCGCTCGGCTGGCCGCGCCTGCCCACGTGCTGGTTTCCGGCGAGCGCGGCGGAAGGGGAGAGGGTCGCGCCGGCCGGGGGCAGTGTATATGTCCGTAGCGGCAGCTGCCGGCGCGGGACGCTGCACCTTGGCTCTCCTCCCCGCGAGTAGGACCCCGGAGCGAGCCCCGCCCGACCCCCGAACCTCCAGCCATGGCTTCTCTGCTTGCGAAGGACGCCTACCTGCAGAGTCTGGCCAAGAAGATCTGCTCCCAGCCCAGCCCCGAGCCACAGAAGCGCAAGTCGGGTAAAGCGCAGCCCCCGGCCGGGACTGGGAGGGCTTCGGAAGGGGGCGCCCCTCCACCCCCCAGCGTCCCCACTCCCCTCCGCGGCGGAGGTCGGTGTGTGCCCCACACCGCACCTGAGTAGCCTTCAGGTGGAGTGGACACGTAGATGCGTGAAACAAGCCTGTGAAATATTAGAGGGAAGTATTATTTTAAGGGATGCTTAAAGGCAACGCCATTTCCCTTGCTCGTTGGGGGCATCCGTCTGGGAGTCTGAGGGATTCAGCTGTGCGCCCTCCGGGCTGGAAGCTCGGCCGGGGTTTGGAGGAGGTGACCCCGTGGAATGGTTGCTCTGCCGTTGGGCATCGTGAACAGGCTTAGCCAACCCTCCACGCCGGGTGGGAAGACAGGTATGAGTGATGATGAAAAAATTACTTTTTCAGCCCAGTACTATGGGCCTGGTGGTGGTGTGGGGAGAAGGAAGGAAGAAGATGGGTCCTGCTAATGGGAGTTTACACGGCAGTGGTGACAAGGGCCCCCTCAGGAGGCAGATACACAAGTAGGTGAAACAGACAGTAATTGGCCTGCCCTGGCGCAGAGGAGGGGAGAGTGGGCACGTCTGCCGTGGACCTACCAGAGGGAAAACGACCTTTTCTTTTTATACAAGGAAAATGTGTTCATCGTAGAAAAATGAAGTTAAGTGAATTTTTTCACCACTCAGTTACTAGTTAGATCTGTGTCTTCCTAAAACTTTTTCTGACGGTTTCTCACTGAAACAATTTGACTCCTACTTTGTGTACTCAACTCTCATTTTCCTTTTAGAATGTAAACATTTTCTGCCCTCCCCAGCACACAGACTTGTGGGATCTTAGGTCCCCGACCACGGATTGAACCCAGGCCCTCGGCAGTGAGAGCGCAGAGTGCTTAACCACTGGACCGCCAGAGAATTCTCTCTCAATCTGTTACGGTGAAAGCCTGTGGCGTTATGTTTTGTTGGGTACATCACAGTCTGTTTTGTGGCGGTGCCGTCACTGTCGTTGTAGATGGATATCTAGGTTTAACTAGCTTTTCACTCAAAAAAGGACGTAACGATGCACATCCTGAGGCCACATCTTGCTGCGCACCCAGAGTGAGTGCTCACGAGCAGACTGCTGGGGCAGCGTGGGGGTGTTTTTCAGGGTTTTGATGAGTGTGGCTAGTCTGCTTTCTAGGAATTTTGTGGTTCTGAGCTCAACGGATGAGGGTCTCCATGTCCCCCATCCTGATCGGCTTTTGGCATTCTTCTAGGACCGAAGCCTTTGCAGGACCTTCCTACCTATTGAATGGGTCACAGGGATTGGGGTGGCAGCCCTTTCTCATTTTGTGTTTCAGCTGGCAAAACTCAAGTCTCAGAAGCTGCTGGGCCCCCCAAAAAGAAGAGGAAGAGAGCACAGAAGAAATTCCGGGAGCGGGAGGAGAAGGCTGCAGAACCCAAGGCCCAGGCCCCTGCGGAGAAGTCTCAAGCCAGGACGCCGGTGGCAGCCAAGGAGAGAGAGGATGAGGCCCCCAGCTCGACAGGGGCCCCTGCAGGTGAGGGGGGTGGGCAGGGTCGACTGGGATCTGCGACAGATACAAAAGTGGGCCTCTCTGGTCATAACGGCACGATCAGATCGTGTGAGACTTCCCGAAGAGCGCGTTTTCAGAGGACAGATCACGGGGCCCCTGTGGGTGGATGGGAATCTCAGGAAGTGCACAGTAGTTCCAGGCCGCGTAGTAACTGGGATGGCGAGGGGCAAGGCCAGGTCCCACTGAGGTCCTGCAGCAGCTTGGCTTGTAGCTTTACTGCCCTCTCGTCTCTGAAGTGGTGTGAGAGCTGCCTCTGGGTCTGGGGGCCACTGCAGAGGGTGGAAGAAGTGGGAGATGGGTTTGGGCCGCACTTCATGAGGATGTCCTGTCCTGGAGGCCAGTCCAGCTTGAAGAGGTAGGGTAGAATTTACTGGAACTGACCTGCAGATCCACGAGTGGTCACTGCAGGGGGGCAGTGTGTGGAGACTCAGGCTTCGAAGCTGGGCGCTTGGGGAGGGCACAGGAAGGTCGGGGCTGGGGCGTCTCCTTTGGTCCTCTGGCTGCTGCTTTGCAGGTGGCCCGGCCGGGGAGCCTGGCTCGCTGTTTGCCTTGGACGTTCTGCGGCAGCGCCTGCGTGAGAAGATCCGGGAGGCGCGGGGCCAGGTAGGTGGAGGAGACCTCTGGGTCCTGTGGTGGTTTCCGCACCCTGCCTGGAGAGAAGACGCCCAGGTGCTTGCTGAGGTCGGCCCCAGTTCTGCCAGCTATTATGGGGCTGACGGGGCAGGCGTGGGGGGGCTCAGCCCCTGTTCCCGCCCCTGCAGCGGGTGCCGCCAGGGCCTTGGTAGCTCTGTCCTGCAAGAGGGCAGGTGTAGCTCTTGTCATCTTGGGGAGCTCGGTCCCCAGGGCCCCCCTCCTGCTGGCCATGCTGGGCTTCTGGCTCTTCTGTCTGCGGCCTTGGAGAGAGGCTCAGCCTCTCCCTTCAGGGAAAGCTGCCTTTGCTACACACCCACGCTGGGCGACAGTTCCTGCCCGTTTGTCCATCTAAATGCACAACGGCCCTATGAGGTAAGCCAGGGCCTGAGATGAGGTGACCAGCCCGAGGTGACAGGCATGGGACGGACGCTCCAGGACCTCAGCCAGCCTCAGCGTGGATGGCATCGCCACCCCCCCCCCAGCCTCCTGCTGTGTGGGGACAGTCCCCTGGCTGCTTTCTGCGCTGTCCTGGGACAGGCCCGAGGGCCCTGCCTTCCTGCAGTGGTCCAGAGCACTGTTGTCTGCCCCGCAGGGGTCAGAATCGTGCAGTGGTCTGCACAGGTGCAGTGTTCTGACCCAACGCCAAGATCTGGGTGGTGGCTTTGGCTAAGCCCCCTGTCCTTGTCTCTGAAATGGTGGAGGACCACACGTCCCTTATTGGGTCACTGGGGAGACTTAGAGGCAGCATGTTTGGGAAGTGCCCCGGTATGGTAGGTGCCTGGGATCCGGAAGGCACGGTTCTCGTGGGGTCCCCTTGGCCTTGTTTTGGGTGCACTTTGGGTGCCAGGTCACCTCCAGGTGGAAAGCTGCACGTGGCGGGCCCATTTTCCTGCCCTGATTCCATGTGCCAGGCTGGGGGCCCCACGGTTGGGAGAACCTGATGAGTGAGCACCTTCTTGCGCCGCAGGGCAGCGCCAAGGAGTTGTCTCCAGCTGCTTTGGAGAAAAGACGCCGGAGGAAGCAGGAGCGCGACCGGAAGAAGAGGAAGCGGAGGGAACTGAGAGCAAAGGAGAGGGCGGCCGAGGCCCTCGAGGGGGTGGAGGCCACTGAGCCACCGCCCGAGGCGCCCCACGAGGAGGCGCAGGCCCAGTCGGGGCTGCTCTTCAACAAGGTGAGTGCTGCACGGCCGTCGGGCGGGTGGAGGTGGGCGCAGTGCGCGGGCCCCAGGCGGGCGGGAAGCGGCACTCAGCTCACATCGCCCTCTTGCCCCGAGGTGGAGGTGAGCGAGGAGGAGCCGGGCAGCAAGGCCCAGCGTAGGAAGGAGAAGAGGCAGAAGCTGAAGGGGAACCTGACACCGCTGACGGGCAGGAACTACCGGCAGCTGCTGGAGCGCCTGCAGGCGCGGCAGGCCCGGCTGGAGGAGCTGCGGGACCAGGACGCGGGCCAGGCCCGGGAGCTCGAGGCCAAGATGCAGTGGACCAACCTGCTGTACAAGGCCGAGGGCGTGAAGATCCGCGACGACGAGCACCTGCTGCAGGAGGCCCTGAAGCGCAAGGAGAAGCGGCGGGCGCAGCGGCAGCGCGCGTGGGAGAAGCGCACGGCGCACGTGCTGGGGAAGATGCAGCAGCGGCAGGACAGGCGGCGGCAGAACCTGCGCAAGAAGAAGGCGGCCAGGGCCGAGCGGCGCCTGGAGAAGGCTCGCAAGAAGGGCCGCATCCTGCCCCAGGACCTGGAGCGGGCCGGCCTGGTCTGAGGGCCCGGATGCCTGGCGCCAACCCGGGTGGCCGCAGGCTCCGGGTCCCAGCGGAGAGCAGACACCGCCGTGTGCTTGAGAGCCTTTGGATCCAGGGGAGGGGTGACCCAACTCCGGGCTCTAGGCTCTTCTTGTGAGGCCGGAACGCTCCCTGAAAGTTGCGGGGTGGGGGGTGAGGGAGCAGCGAAGAGGGAGGGGGCGTCTTGAGGGGGGGCTTCCCTGGCGCCCTCTTCCTCCCCCACGTTCACAGGAGCGGGAACTGCTGTGTCTGCCGCAAACTCACTTGGTAAAGGACAAAAACCAGCCACCTCCTGTAGCCTGCGTTGGAGTGGAGTTGACGGGCTCGGTAACTGGGAGACGGCGGGGCCGTCCTCAGGCTGCCTGGAATTGAGTTATTCGAAGTTAATTTCTAAGGTGGGTGAAACCTAGAATTTAAGGTAGACATGCACATTAAAAATCCTAAGGTAACCAGTAAAAGGTAGAAACAGTGAACTAGCAGGAAGAACAGCGGAGTGGGGTGGACAGTTATCGATCTAGGGGGAGGCAGGAGAGAAAGAGTAAAACCTAGAACCGAGCGAGGCCAATGGAGGGTGCACAGTCAGGGGCACAGCTAAGTCCAAGCCCGCAGGCAGCCGGGATGAATGCACGGGACAAAACTCAATGAATCTTATGGTATGTGCATTATATTTCAGTAAAACCGTTAATAAAATTCTTTTGATTAAACTCCAGTTAAGAAACAGATGGTAACCAAAAGGAAGCTGGCGTGGCTGTATTATAAGATGAAGATTTGAAGGGAAAAGGCACTAGTAGAGAGAAAAGAAAGTCGCCACGTAATGAAAGGGGTGCAGGTCACCTGGAGGGTAGAACAGTCCTGCACCAGGGACAGCTTCAAATCTGTCTAGCAGAAACTGACCCGCCACAAGGAGAAATCAATTCACAAACCAAAGTGGGAGATTTTTAACATCTCCGTTAGGAATTGATACACCAAGCAGACAAAATCAGATGCATAGGGAAGGTTTCAACGAGAGCGTTTGTAAGCTTGAGCTGATGGACACACAGAATAGTGCACCTAAAAACAGTGTGTACCGGGACTTCCCTGGTAGTCCGGTGGTTAGGACTCTGCTTCCAATGCAGGGGGTGCGGGTTTGATCCCTGCTCAGGGAACTAAGATCCCATATGCCTCGGGATGCAACAAAAATTTAAAAACAAAACAGCATGCACCTCAAGCACACGTGGAACAGTGGTGAAAACTGACCACCTCCTAGTCCAGAAAGCAAGTCACATTTCAAAGCGTCGGCATCGTATCTGGCTGTGGAACAATTTAAAAACTTCAGAGGTAATTGTTAAAGTTTCCTGTTTGGAAGTTTAAAAACACACTTCTAAATTACCTGTGAGTCAAAGAGTAATCCCTAGTGGATGTTAGAGAAAGTTTAGGACCGAAAGGTAATGAAAGTGCTGTGCATTAAATCTGTGGGCCACAGCTAAGGCAGTGCCAAAAGCACTTGGTAGCCTTAAAAGTGTGCTTATGTGTGCCTGTTCTTGGTTATACATCTTAGGAAGCGACTGCATCATGCAGCACAGTTTCCTGCCATCTTGCTTGCCCCAGCACCTCATGCCAGGGTCCTGTTGTCCCACTCTCTGCACCCAGCAGTTACTCCCGAATTATTGTCCGTATGTTGCAGTCAGAGTTGGGAGAGTATAAACCCCCTGTGGAAATCGCAGGAGCATCTCAAAAGGCCTGGTGGACGTATCATCGGGTGCTCCCCCTGAAGCCTGGAAGTCCAGGAAGCTCGCCCCTCCGACCTGGAGTGCTGCTGTGTCCCCAGCTTCATGTAGCTGGTGTGCAGGGTGAGCAGGTGGTGCATTTTTGGTGGCAGGTGGCATCAGGAGCACCCCATTTCTAGAAGCAGCACTGGACAATAGGAGATACAGCACAGAAAGGGTGAAGAAATACAGAGAATTCTTCACCTGGTGGGAGACAGAGCCTGTATCCGAGTTGAAACACTGAAAATGCTCCAGCCTCCCTGGGCTTGGCCACTCGTGTCCCTCCCTGGCCCAGGGCTGGGAGCTGATGCACAGAAGCAAGGACATGCTGCACACGATTTTGGTGGCAACCGAAGCGTCTCATGGCCAGAGGCAATAGTGGACGATGGAATATGGACAACAGGGAAGAAGAGGTTAAGAGCATTACAGAATGAGTCTAGGAGGCCCGATGTGCATCTCTTGGGTGTTGTGTGTCTCAGGCGCAGAAGATGAAATGCAGAGTCATGGGAGAGAACTTCCAAGGGCCTAATGTCAGATATTTTCAGAGCCAAGTGGCAAGTCTCCCCAAGTCAGAAGGTCCCCCTCCTGTTGCAGCGTGAGTCAGCTGGAAATAGCTGTAACCAGGACATGTGCTCAGGAACCATGGTTCACCAGGAACTGGGGTTCCAACGGTCCTGCAAGGCCAGGGTAGTTTTGTGCCACTGGCCCCTTTGGGTGAGGCTGGGAAGTAGGCTCCCAGTCAACCTTTCCTTCTACTTAGGGGCTCCAGAAGTGGAACTAACACATGGTTAGAAATTCAGTGAGGGGCTACATGCAGCTGAGTAGCTCAAGTGAAGCTTCTGTTCACCAGACCTGCGTCGGGGTGCAGAGGGCAGAGAGCTGTCTCCAGACCCCCCGTGGGTTGGCGCACCCAGTTCGTCGCACTGGCCTGACAGCTGTGGGGACCTCACGTACATGGCCTGTGGAAGTAAGGTGTTCCCTGCCGCCCTCAGGTTCCAGGATCTGCGCTGGCCCAAGAGCATGGTTCTACCCCTGCATCTCCCGTGGGATTCCATCCAGCCTTCAGGGAAGGGCCACCGTGGTGCTTCTCTACTCTGTTCACAGTGCTTTTCTAGTACCTCCGCAAAGGATGAGTCTTCTGTACCCTCCCCAGACCACCTGTCGGGTGGATGAGCAGGTAACATTGTTAAGACCTTCCAACAAGCCTGCCTCGCTCCTGGTAGAGAGAAGCCTAGAGGAAAGAGAGAGTTCTTACCTCTGTGTCGTTCCAAGGGATTTCTGGAAGGTTCACTTACCTCAGCATGGGCCACTGTGGGTTCCAGGTTTTGGTCAAGCAACAAAGGAAATGATCGGACCCTTTCCAGTTCCCTAGCTAGCCCACTCTGAGTCCTGCTTATGGGTGGAGCCCCCTCTGGAACTGCACCCCGCCTTTCTTGGCCAAGCACTTCTAGAATCAGGTGCCACATGCTTCCCTGATTTTTTCCAGTGTAAAGCAGCAGATACTTGTTCACTTAGTCAGAGCTGCTTCTGAATTGGACTTTGTAACTGGCCACTTTGGACCTGCTGAGATCTGACTGTCCTTAGCAGTCTAGAGACAAGGTGAGATGGGAGTGAGTCTGGGGAGACTGGCTTCTCCTTGGAGGTAACTTCCTCAGATCAGAGTTCAAGCCAGGCACAGCCTTATCAGCCAAGGGAGGAGGGACTGATTTCTCAAAGTGAGCCTTGGTGAGGTTGGGTGTTCAGGGTACCTGAGGCATCCAGCGTTGCCCAAATATCCCCCTTTCAATTCTGAGGACTGATCAGTGCTCCAGCTTTTCCATGAGAGATCTGGTAAGGTTGTGCATTCGCCTGTTGGTGGGATTTGCTGATGGGCCAGCTAAGACTTGGGTGTTCAGGTAACTCAATCTTGCAGCTGAAAACCAGATGAGAGGTTTTTCTACAGAGTAATAGGAAGTCCCTGATTCTCAGTCCATGTTGACTTTGAGGACTTTGAGCTTATCCCTGTCTTTCTGTTGACTACCCAGCACTGTTAAAGGAGCAGCCCCACCCTGCAGTCCTGGAGTTTCTCAAGCCTTTCTCATTTCTCAAGGTGGTGGTCAGCTAGCCTCTCAAAGTCTTGCCTTCAGAAGATATTTGTCTCAGGTGACCACATCTCCAGATAAGTTGTTTTGCAGCTGTGTGCCAGTATATCCAGGGTCCCATCCCCTGGTACTAACCAAATTTCTCCTACCCTCAGCTAAACTCCAGCCAGATAACAAATCCCAGGTTTTCCCTAAGTCACTCATGAGAGGTCACGTTATGTTGCATTAAGAAAAGTACTTTTTAACAAATAAGACTAGTAGTTTAAAGCCAGACCGATCACTGGATATGTCTTAGCAACTAGGAATAGAGAAAAACTTCCTCAACTGGATAAATAACATTTACCCCAAACGTACAGATACCATCATGCTTAACAGCGAAAAACTCAGAAGTTTCCTGCTAAGATCAGGAACAAGGCAAGAATGTCCCTTCTCATCACTGCTTTTCAGCGTCATAATAGAGAAGTCCTAGCACGTGCGACAGGACAAGAAAAAGAAAATACATGCAGATTGGGAAGGAAGAAATCAAACTGTCTTTGCAAATGACATGATCGTCTATGTAAACGTCCAGAAGAATTGACAGAAAAACCTGAAACATGATTGTATCAAGGTTGCAGGATACAATGTAAATATTGTAAAAAAACAAATTGCTTTCTTATCTAACAAGTGTTCCTATGAACAAGTGGACTTTGAAACTAAAAATACATTACCATTGGGACTTCCCTGGCTGTCCAGTGGTTAAGACTATGCTTCCACGGCAGGGAGCATGGTTTCGATCCCTGGTTGGGGAACTAAGATTCCCACATGCCACACGGCCAACAAAGCAAAACAAACAAAAAAGTACATTGCCATTTACACTGTGAAGATTAACAGTTTCCCAGTGCATGTAAAAGTTATGTTTACACTATACTGTAGTCAATTATTAAATGTGCAACAGCATTATGGCTAAAAAAATTTACAGCCTTAATTTAAAAATATTGCTAAAAAATGCTAACCATCATCTGAGCCTTCAGCGAGCTGTAGTAAAATCAAAGATCGCTGATCACAAACCGTAACAAATGTCACAGTGAACATTTTTTAAATATTGTGAGAATTACCAAAATGTGACACAGAGACATGAAGCAAGCAAATGCTGTTGGCGAAATGGTGCCAATAGACGTGCTTGATGCAGGGTTGCCACCAACCTTCAATTTGTAAAAAATGCAGTATCTGTGAAGTTCAATAAAGGGAAGTGCAGTAAGAGGAGGTGCGCCTGTAAAGGGAAACCTCACTAACATGGAGCTGGGAGGCCAGAATAGGGAGCTGTCATGCACATATCACTCAACATCAATACAGATGCCAACAGGAAGAGATGTAGCTGGCATCTCGGGCAGGAAGTGACACCACTACTGACAGCAGGAGGAAGGGAGAATTTCTCCTTGCCTGGCAATAGCTCAGTGTCAGACTGTCACAACTCAGCTACTGAAAGGCCACTATACTTCCAACCCCAGTTTACTCCATTGGACTTTTTATTTATAGTAGCCCTTTCCAACGTCCCCTTCTGCTCTATAAAATTTCTTCTCCTTTGCTTTACCAGACTTGCATGTGGTTCACCATAGTTACATGTCCTGAATTACAATTCTTTGCTGCTCCTGAATAAGCCCTTCTTGTTGGTAAAATAACTGGCTGTCTTATTCCTTTAGGTTAGCAGTTAGCACCCCCGAAATGAAGTAATTAGGTATAAGTCTAACAAGCTGTATATTTGATCTGTATATCAAAACTCTGATGAAAGTTACCGAAGAAGAACTAAATAAATAGAGATCCTATGTTCATGGATCAGAAGACTCAAGTGTTGTCAAGAGGTCAGTTCTTCCCAACTTGATCTACAGATTCAGTGCATTCCCGGCAAGTTAGATTTGGACATTGACAGACTGATTCTGAAGTTTATGTGGAGAGGCAAAAGACCCAGAATAGCCACTCAATATTAAAAGAGAAGGACACAGTTGGAGGACTGACACCACCCAACTTCTAGACTATAGTAAGGCTGCAGTAATCAAGACAGCATGGTATTGGTGAAAGAATAGACAAATAGATCAGTATAATAGAGGGCAAAGAAACACACCCGCAAAGGTGCAGTCAACTAATCTTTGAAAAAGGAGCAAAAGAAATACGATGGAAGAAAGATAGTCTTTTCAACAAATGGTGCAGGAAAAACTGGACATCCACTTGCAAAAGAAGAACCTAGATGCACAGACCTTACATCTTACGCAAGAATTAACTCAAAATGGATCATAGATCTAAACGTAAAATTCAAAACTATAAAACTCCTAGAAAGTAACAGTAGACAAGTTAAATGATCTTGGGTATGGTGATGACTTTTTTTTTTTTTTTTTTTTTTTTGG